TCCAGTTTTATATATTTTTTTTGACGTTATTTAGTATTTTCATAAATAGAGCTAGGTTACCAAGGTAACAATACATCTATATAAGTTCATACCAGGGAACAAGTCAGTCCGGGCTTGTATCCCCAGAGTGAGTGAGTGACTGTGAATGATTTCTGTAAATATTAATATTTTAATGTATCTAATCTAAGAGAGAAAGTGAATATATTAAATTGTTTTATTGAGACCGGGCTTGTATCCCCCAGATTCCCGAAGTGCTTCTGAGCAAATCAGTGAATCGACATCGGAGCTGTGTCTCTTCGTTGGAGCGTTGGAGTCAACCAAACTGCCAGCCATTACTTGCACTGACTACTACACAATGCAGAGACTGTAACTATTTAGTGAAAAAGAGATTTAATGGGATATCATAAACTATATTTTCAGGAGCAGATTGAACCCTGTTACACACGATATGCAAAACAAAATTATATTTTTTGAGTGTTTGGCAGATTATTGTGATCGTGATATGAGTCACAATGTCAGTTGGATTAATATGTTTTACATTTCAATTCACTGAAAATGGGTCTTGTACGAAACAAGCACATTCCTTTACGTCTGGAGAATAAAAATTGTACACATTTACCAAACAATTGCAGCTCCTGTGATTTGTATTTGCGATTTTGACTATATTTCGATTAATTTGTGCAGCACTACTCTTTTCCATGCAGCTGCTTCAGTTTCAGGGGCCTGGTTTTCTATTATTATTGGCTCACTGTTGCACTCGCCATCATGGTTTACTGGGACACTGGAATAGAACAGAGCCATGTTAATATTATGAGCAACACCTGTGCTTTTCCTACTATGACAAGACAAAATTTGTGCTGTGAAAAGGCTTATACAAACAATATACATGTGGACCCTCACCCTACAATGTACCACTTCTATTTTAAAGCTCTGTATCTGTGACATGACTGATGTATGTGAACAGAGGAATGAGGAACCATGAGTATAATGGCTCTGTTTTTGTGATTGATGGTAAGTTTGTTGTTGTTGTTTTCTCATTAGAAACAACATAGTTGAAGACACAAGGGTACATCACAGTATTGGAGTTGAATTATGCTTTTATAAAGCAAACAACAGGAAGAGGGGATCAAAAAGGTGTTTTAGTTCTATTTTCTCATTACTCATACTGTTGAACTAAAAGCTAACTTTTTTTTTTAATTCTGGGAATATTCATAGCAATCATGTTTATGCTATGTTAATTCCCAAACTAATCTTACACAAACTAGAATGGATAAGCAGCAGTAAATGAGTCATTATAAAACTCATTAAGAAGACATGAGTTTGTCATATTTTCAGACTAAAAACTTTGCAAAACCTACAAGACATTGTATAGGAATCTGCTTTCTCATCAGCATTCCAGTTTTAAGCATTCCACTAGTATATTTTTTTAATTAAAAAAATATAGCCCCCAATCCTAGCATACAGGAGTTTCAGTCTGACTTGACTGAAACTCCTGTATGCTTTGACAGGTGGCAGTCAGAAACTGAATACAAACAATGTATATCATAACTAATTCCACAGACTCGACTGTACCAGTCTTTACTATCGGTGAGACTGACAGAGCCGACGCAGGGTACTGTGTCCTGTAGAGCACGTCAAGACCATTTTTGGTTGCTCGCGGGTCAAAGCTTCGAAGACTACATCGTTACCTTCTGGGAGTTCCACGGTCCTGGCCCGGCGGAGGGAACGGGTCAGCCGGTTGAGCTGTACGTTGAGCTGTTCCATCGCCCGTTCCATCATAGGTGATCGCTCCACCAGGATGAAGCTAGGGAAAAAGGCTCACCCGTCAAATTACTTGTTCCTAATGTGGTTGTGTTGTTCCTGGGCGGTCGTCCATGGGCGCCTGGCAGATGGGGAACCGTTTCTCCGACAGACAGTGAGTTACAAAACACTATTTTTTTTACTGCCACACTGCTCAACTCAATTCACCTACAACGACCGTTATGACTTCCTGTTATGATGACGTTCATACCCTATGCAGTGTGGTGTATGTAGTTCTTAGCTCTTATTGTGCTTTGGAAATTTATTGACGATTGGCAAACAACGAATTGGTGCATTACCGCCCACACTGGAATGGAGTGTGGATCAGAATGTCTAGTAACTGACTACATATTCCAAAAATACATAAATGAATAATGAATAATAATAATAGATAATATAATAATAATAATGAATAATAATATAATATAATAATAATGAATAATAATCCTACTATATGACTATCACTTTAATCAGTTTTGTTATTTCAAGTATGCAGGTAGATATTGTTTAACCCTTGTGCCCTCCTCACTACCCTCTGGACACCTTCATGCAAAAATGTACACGCACAAAAAAACTGCTTTTAATCATCATACATGATTATTTTTTTCTACTTTTTTTTTCATAAATCTCTTAAACAACTTCAAACTTGCTCAAAACTACCAAAGTAGTGATATTTGACATTTTTACTGTTATTCCACCAGATTCAAACCATTTTCCCATTGTAGGCCGATGCATTGAAATTCTGTATTTTTACCAGTTATATTATGGAGCCTGTGACTACCAAGGACCCAGATTTTCAGCCCGTTACTTCGCTGGCACTTGCTGGGCATTACTGCCGGAATTGAGGGCAGCGGCCTCGAACGGTTACGCAGCAGATCCGAACGTCCCCTCGGACATTGAACAGGGGCGGGAGGTGCTGTGTCCACTTTGTCCCACATATTTCCGGAAAGCAGAACTTGTGTTCCTTGTAGTCGGACAGCACAGGATGGGTGAGTCGTCATCGAATTCAGAGGCTTGGCGCTATTATCATTTGAAATCGTTATGAGTAGGGACATAAGGTGGCCCTGAAAGACTGGTCTCCCACGAGGCTGCGGATACGATTCCCCTTGGGGGACCGTTACACACCGTTGCAGGATGAGAGAGTCCCATGGTATGCCTCAAATCTCCTTGGGCTCCACATCACTGCCATCCTGACAACAAGAACGCCTCCGTGTATGTTTGTTCATTTTGCAAAATACAGCTGGATCACTGTCAGGAGTGAAGAAAACGGGCAAAAGAGCGATGCCCACATCGTGGATTCTTTGGATATGGGCACTATTCATGGGCTCTTGCATTCATGCCGGGTTGGGTGCCTTGAAATTACGCTATATACGCGCGTCTCTGACATGAGATGGAGGACAACAAGACTTGTGCCTGTTCTTCATTGTAACTCGAGTCGTTAGGATGGCAGGATCCTCAGTGGTCCTTCTCCACTTTTCAAGGGTCAGTAGGCACTCCACAGAAAGGGAGGACTCCATCGGTAAGCATTCTGTGTCAGACTTCTCCCCTCGAAGTTTATGTGTCTTCTTCATTACAGACCACGTAACTAGTTGTATTTTGTTTTCTGACGTACATGAAGGCAGGGAGGCCACGTTTTTAACTCAAGCACACCTCTTCAAAGACACATGAAACACATCCCTCAAAAGATGTCCTTTTTTCACCGTGCTTACAGATTTGAACACACCCGCACACACACACACACAAACACACACACACACACACACACACACACACACACACACACACACAAAAGAAACTCTTGGGGCCCCCTGGTAGTCACATGGCTCCATAATATAACAGGTAAAAATACAAGAATTTCATGCATCGGCCTACAATGGGAAATCGGTTGAATCTGCTGGAATACAGTAAAAATGTCAAATATCACTTCTTTTCTTCAAAATGAAATGCTGACAT